TGACGTTGATCCTGAGCCCGGTGCTGGGAGATCATGTGTATTCCCCTCGGGTGGGAACAGTTCTTGGAGAACCCTTTCTCTTGCCCGCTGAGCAGAGTCCGCCTCGGACACAGGTACCAAATTGCAAAATGGATGCTGGTCCTGGAGTTTGAAACACATAGAGACATTCTACACAGGTAGTCCTCAGCATACCACCGTAATGGAGCCTGGCCCTTAACGGTGGTTTGATGTGACAGTCATAAAATGGGTGAGTCATGTGACCGACCCAATTTTATGGAATTTTGTAGTGGTTGTTAAATGAATCCAAGGTCTTTAAGCGAACCAAAGTTTTGCTACGGTTATAGTTTTGCCGAAAGCCAGAAGTAAGTGCTGTTTTTTGACAAAGCCATCGTGAAACAGTGTCACGTGACCGTGGGACATTGCAAACGCCATCATGGGATTGCATTTTGGTTGCTTGGCCACTGACTCGCCTAACAGCCATTTGCAGCATCTCGCACTCACATAGCCACAATTTTTGATGTCTATAGAGATTCCCAATCATCCAGGTCATGGGTTGTCCCAAAGGTGCTTTTTCAAAAGGCAACTGACTTTGTTTTTCCTTGAAGATGTTTCGCTTCTCATCCAAGAAGCTTCTTCAGTCCTGACTGACTGATTGAAATCCTTCCATCCTGCACCATTCAGTCAGAACCGAAGAAGCCTTAGTAAGACCACACCTAGAATACTGCATCCAGTTTTGGTCTCCACACTATAAAAAGATGTTGAGACTCTAGAAAAAGTGCAGAGAGAATGATTAAGGGACTGGAGGCTAAAACCTATGAACTAATGGAACAACTTGCCTTCAGAAGTTGTGGGAGCTTCATCACTGGAGGCTTTCAAAAAGAGATTGGACTCCCATCTGTTAGAAATGGTATAGGGTCTCCTGCTTGGGTGGGGGGTTGGAGTAGATGACCTTCAAGGTCCCTTCCAACTCTGTTATTCTATTCCATTCCATTCCATTCTAAGCTTCTTGGATGAGAAGCAAAACATCTTCAAGGAAATACAAAGTCCAGTTGCCTATTGAAAAAGCACCTTTGAGACTGTTTCTCCAAAGTGACAAATTGCATTAACATTGGCTTCCATCCACATTCTGAAATTCTTTAGAGACTGTAACAAGATTTGGTCTGAACCTCAGTCTTATTTTGTTTGTATATTTTGTGGCTATAAATAAAGTGATAAATACTGTTAAAGTTGCCTGTACTCTCAGAGGCCCAGTTGTGAGATATATGAGAAAGGAGCTTCTCCTTGGTCAGCTGCAGGCAACGGAGTGCCTTTCTTCCAGAAATAAATGTATTTCTCCTTCCATTTTCAATAAAGGAATTATGCCTGGGCCTTTTTTGAATTGCACCACTAATAAAGGTAATTGCACATTAGCTGATAATAATTTAGATTGTTTACCTTGAGTGCTGTATAGATAAAAGGCAGGAAATAATAAGAACTTTTATAACTTTAGAAGTGATGTTTGTGGAAGGGAGTAGCTTAATGGCAGAAGACGGGATGCTTTTTATGGAGACAGGCATAAAGGAGTGGGACAGATCTGAGGGTCTCTGGCAGAAGGGGGTGGGACCGGGGCAAGTGCCAAGGCATGGTCCACTGGGGCAAGTGCCAAGATGGCCACCAGAAAATTGTACATTGGTTCCCGGCCGGCCAGGGCCAGGGCCAAGGCAGAGGGGGCCGTTCCCTCGCTGTTTCCAGGATGGCTTTGCGGGCCACATGAAACCACTTTGCGGGCCACATCTGGCCCCCGGGCCTTGTGTTTGACATCTCTGATTTAAATCCTTTCATTCTGCACCATTCAGCCAGAATTGAAAAAGCTTCTTGGCTGAGAAGCGAAACGTCTTCAAGGAAAACCAAAGTCCAGTTGCCTTTTGAAAAAGCAAAACCTTTGGGACACAATTTTTGACATTTTTTAATTGGTTTCCAGCATTCACTTCTGTTTTCTGGCAAAAAAACCAAACAAATGCCTATTGGGTAAAATACATTCACTTATCAATCATCACGTTCATTTAACAACCGCTGTAAAAAAAATGTCCTAAAATTAGGCCCAGTCTTATGGTGGCCCACTTAATAACTGCAGTGACTTACGACCGTTAATTCTGGGGTCAGTTACAGTCGCAGGTCGAGAACTACCTGTAAAATAACGATTGTAAGTAGGGTTGACGGAGGAACTCTTTATGATGCCCTTCCTTCTCTTACTCTCCCAACCTCTTGATAGGCTCTAGAAGAACATGTGATGCAAAAGCTCCGGTTGCGGGAACAAGTGATGTTTCGCTTGCAGCTTCACCTCCACCTTCACCAGCTTCTCCTTCCTGATGGTTGCTGTTCTTCCCGCACTCTCTTAGTGGCCCCCCCTCCTCCTTTCTTCCTCCAGACCCTTCGTAGTCTCGGACTTAACCTGCCCCCCTGAGAGAAGCAAGCAGTGAAAGAGTATGCAAAGGACTTGTCTGAATTCATCCATTGCTGGCAGCCCAGTTGAGTGGATGCAGCTGTCTCAAAATCCAGCAGCAGAGCTCCCACACAAGGAAAAATTCCCATGGTTACGGAAGAAAACTTTGCTTCTTCAGGAAAAGGCTCATATTATAAATTCCATGAGAGTTGCTTGAATAGGCAGCATACAAATGATTGATAGTGGGGAAAAAAGCTTATCAAAAAGTGCAGTAGGAAGGAAATTTCTAAGTAAAAACCTCTTTTGTAACTGGCTGGTATAATCTGGCTAAAAAGGTATTTTAAAATGAACGTTTGTGAGTTAGTTTGTTTTTATTAAAAGCTGTTCCTGTATCCACAGAACTGATTTTTTTTTTTTTGAACCATCGATCTTTATGCCTACGTGTGGTAGTATCACAGCAACCCAGGCCCTATTATTACTAGGATTTATGCATTCCTAATAACTAGATTACATACTGTTGTATGAAAGTAATTGTACTTAAAGCGCCGTGGTGGCTCAGCGGTTAGAAGGCAGTAGGGCAGTACTGCTTACTGCCGGCTGCCAGCACTTCGCAGTTCGAGTCTCACCGGCTCAAGGTTGACTCAGCCTTCCATCCTTCTGAGGTCAGTAAAATGAGGACCCAGATTCTTGGGGGCAATATGCTAACTTTAAAAACCGCTTAGACAGGGCTGTAAAACACTGTGAAGCGGTATATAAGTCTAAGTGCTATTGCTAGTAATATTTTCTCAATATTAAGAAGCAATAAGCAAATTATGCGTTATCTTAGGGCTGATGCTCCTAGGTTAGTGATGGCGAACCTTTTAGAGACCGAGTGCCCAAAACCCACCTGTCTCCGCTCCTACCTGCCTGTTGGGACACCCACCACTTCCACGGCCGCCACAGATCATCCAAGAAGCCCAGCAGGGCCATGGTGGCCACGCCCTCCGCCCATGCCCTATAGCATCATCTCCATGTGATGGCGCAAGAGCTGAGTCTTGTCCCCGCTACCCGGCTACCATGTCCTTGGCTACACTGCTTCGCATGGGCTGCACCCGGGGGTGACTCTCCTCCACGGGGGGGGGCCTGCTGGTGAGGAGGGGGTCATGGGAGGAGGCGGAACTGGGGTGACGGCGCACGTGCTCACAGAGAGGGCTCTAAGTGCCGCCTCTGGCACACGTCCCATAGGTTCGCCACCGTGCTAGGTGAATAGGAAGAAGCTGAGCCTCCAGCCAGAGAAAAATTAGGGGAATGTTCTTTTCCAACTATTTTTAGTTATCAAATGAGTTACCATATTGAAAAATGCAAAGGAGAGCTCTGAATTTCAGAAGGATTTTGCCTATAAATTACTTCTTTGGTGCACAGTATAGTAGGCAGTTGCTGCCGATTCCAGATAAATATTTATGCCTTGTTCTCAGTGGCATGGAGCTCAAGAGTTTTCATGTCAAAAAGTATCTAATTCACTCTTAAATATTCTGAAAGGGACTTAGATCAGGCAACAGTAACTTTTTCAGCTGCTATTGTGCTGTGTTGGTAGATTAAAAATAACAAAATTGAAAATAGTCTAATCTTACAAGATGTCAGCATTTCATAAAACATTTTAATTAGTTTTCAGGATACAAATTACTTCAGAGTTGTCCTGACTAACATGTGCTCTGTGGATGTTGCTTGGATTAGATGTGATTATTAAGCACAAAAGGTAAATATTAATCAAGCGATAGAGTGAGAGCAATAAAACACAGTTTATTTTTCCTAGGCTTTTAATTATTAAATTTCAACTAAAGATATACAGCAGGAGCTTCCCCTAACATTCCTCATTTTTTTGCCTCTTTTATAATTTCTGGACACAGGCGTTAGCAAGTTTGTAAGTTTTGCAATTCTCATAAGTTGAAAATAAGTAGACATATTCAAACACATGGCTCCTATCCCTTCATTATTATTCTGTGGGAAGGCTCTGTGTGATTTGAAAGTTTGCCTTCTGCTAACATGAAAATTTTCTCTCCCTGTTTTGTAAGGGAGAAACGTGACTAATTTGGAAACCACTTGGTTGCCGTATGGACTTTGGACACAGGCTGCTAGCAGGGCCAGAGGCTTACCTTCCTTTACACAAGCTTTCCTCTGCAAAAACAATTGGAATCTTTGGCTTCTAGTCGGTGAGAAAGCTTTTAAAGTGTGATAGCCAGTACCTGGATATTTTTCATAAGCATTGCCCATACCTGTACAAACCTTATCCTGGGCACCAAGTTCTACCTTTTTTCTTCTGAAGTTCTGCTACAAGAAGGAACTTGTGTTCAGAAGTGGACAAGAAGCAGCAAATTATATATTGTCTTAGACCAGAGATAGGCAACCATGGCTCTTTTATGACTCATTGACTTCAACTCCCAGAATTCCTGAGCCAGCATGGCTCAGCTTGGAAACCTCTCCCTTTCCCCTCAGCATGGCTGGCTCAGGAATTCTGGGAGTTGAAGTCCACGAGTCATAAAAGAGCCGAGGTTGCCTACCCCTGAGACAGTGGTGGGATTCAGCCAGTTTGTACCAGTAGCTAATTTTTACGGCAGAACCAGTAGCTAATTTTTTGTTGCCCAGACCCAGAATGGACTTCTGGAAGCGGCATCCACACAGAGAACCGGTTGTTCACATATTTGAATCCCACCACTGGTCTTAGGCCTGATGCAACCAAGAAAATAGACAAGGGCACTTTTTTTTTTTTTTTTTTTTTGCTCATTGATGATGATAACACGTACTGGGAGAGCTTTGGAGCCGTTTCCCCAGGGAAAGGGAGCATTAGGATCATAGCTATTTATCTGACAGTAACATGAAGAAATGCAATACATCTGCAGATTCTTCTCCGCACCCAGGTATCCACTATAAAAAGTACAACCTAGAATTTATTTTGATAAAAAAAAATCACCTATTCCAGTTGTACATGCAGATGGTCTTCAGATACACTAGACTTGAGAGAATAAAGAGGAACTGAAATTTATCCTTGCAAATAGTGTTTGCAACATCTGGAAAAAAAATTTATATCAAGTATATGCAACTTTTGTTAGGCTGAAGATCTAAAATACTTGATCTTAGAGTCCCATAGACATACTTGGATAAACGAAGAATTGGGGGAGCCAAAATACAGTTCCAAAATTTGGTTGGGTTCTGCAAGTATATGTGGGAATTTTATTTTTAAAGTACCCTTATATTCCATATATACCAATGTAGGAGCCCAATTGCAGATACGTCAACCCTTGAATTTTTAACCAAAACACTATAAAATATATCACATGCAGATAAGCCAATTATGAAAATTAAAAAAATTTAAGGGTCAGCTTATCTGCAGTATGGCTTGTACGTGAGCACATACAGTAATGTGACGACTGCAATCCAGAAAGTGGCTTAAATTATGAATTAGAATGTATATAATGTCTACAAATGTATTGGCTTAATGTTGGAATCCGGTAACATCCAGAAGACCACAGCTTCCCCATCTCTTATTTTGCATAAATCTGGATGTTTGAGGAAGCAGTTCTGTTAGTTGTAAGAGTAGTTCTGTAAAGAATCGTGGACTAAAAATTACTAATCTAAAAATTACTAGTGTTCTAAGGCAGTGTTTCTCAATCTTAGCAAGTTTAAGATTTGTGGACTTCAACTCCCAGAATTCTGGGTGTCAAAGTCCACACATCTTAAAACTTGCTAAGGCTGAGAATCATTGTTCTAAGGAAATTTCTATATGTAGAACATAGACAGCTTTATCTCACACATACTGTAGTAAGAACTGCTAATGGAGAAAACATTACTAATGCTTGCTTCAGTTTCTGTTACTTTATATATAAATGATTATCCCATTTTCTTCTTTTTGATAGCACTGAAAAAGGTTTTGACTTGTTGGCTTTAAACATTAAAACTGTTCTCCAAGGATTAGACTAGTAGATTACAAAAGTAAAATTTATTGTTTTACAAAGAATTTACAAACCACGCTGTTACAAGACCTAAATGTAAATATGTTAAAAGTAAAATAGGATATACTTGACTGCCTAAAATACATAATTTATGGATTGTAATAAAATTTATAAATATATAAAATTTTTGGACTGCATTCTTTCCCATCTTAAGAAAAAATATGCATGCTTATAAAAATTTGAAACACTGAAATTTAGCAGAGTTGGGGGAGAGAGGAATTGCCCACTATATGACACAGGTTCCTTTTGTGCATGGTGCCAGGGCCAGTAGAAAATATATGGAATAATATTTATATGGAAATAGCATGCTAGAGTATGTGGGAACTTCACGCTCATTTATTTAAGAAGCAGTCTTGTGCCAGAGTAAATTAGTCCATCTGATTTAGTAATCTCTAACCCTGGATCTTAAGCTGATGAGAGATACAGTCCTACAGTGCTTGGAAACCTAAACTTAGGAATCACCAAAGCCATGATTATACATTGTGGCTGTTAATATCTCACCAAGATCACAAGCAAAAGACTATACAAGTCCCATCTACGGACATTTTGTAGACTGAATGGCTTCTGGAACTTTTTAGATACAAAATGTGTACTCCATTATGATCAGTTGGTTTCCTTCAGTCAAGAGATGAATTTAACGTCTGAGAAAGGCCTCGGGAGACCCAGTACAAATACAGTTACAGCCATAATCCAAGAGGGCGCAGAGTAGGTTATGGCCTTATCTCCACTCCAAGTCGTCATATTCTCCATGCAAAAGCAATAAAAGATATATTCTTAAGCCTTCAGTGGGGCTGAATATGCTCTGGTTAGTAAAGATTATGAATTACTCCCCCCAAAAAACAAAGGGGGAAAAACTCAAAATTCCATCTTAGCATGCATTACATAAACTAAATCAAAATTTAACCATACTTTGTTTGGTGAAGACATCAGTCAAAAGGTCCTATTAACCAAATTCTAAACAGGAAATGTGACCCCCCCCAAAAAAAACCCTAATCAATCAAATAAATCCACCAGCAAAAATTAAAATTAGCTACTGGCTTAAAAGAAAGCAAATTTACAATTATTTTTTCTTCCATGCTCAAATGTCCAATTGAAACAGAAATAACAAATTTTGACATTTACTACAATTTTGAGGATGACTAAATACAATAAGACAAAGCAATTATAGAAGCAGAAAAGGTCCCCAAAGTAATGAGTCTGAATTGCTGTTAAGGGCATCAATCTCTGGAGAAGATGCTGAGAAAGCTCTGAAGTGTTTAGAAAAGCAAGTGAGACTGGGAAGAACCACTTTAGATTGTTCTAGTAATGTTGGAATAATTTTGAAGGGGAAACACAAACAGATGGAGGAAAATCAAGGAAAAGAATATGCTGAGGCACAGGAACATATAGTTTCATGGACAACGTGGAGATACACTATTTAGAGCTTTCTAGATAAGAATAAACCTCAGATTGTGCCTCAAAATATGGAAAGTAACAGGAAGAACAGAAGTGAGGAAATTAGGCGCTCAGATACTGTTGTACTCCAATCTCATTCCCAGCCAATACGATGAATTATGGAAAGTTGGTAATTATAGTCCAGCCCAGCCAGTTTTTAATCTCTAGTGGAGCATTTCCATTTGTGGGAGCATATCCTAAACCAAGGGTCTTTAAACTTGGCCCTTTTATGACTTGTGGACCTCAACTCCCAGAATTCCTCAGCCAGGCACACTGGCTGAGGAATTCCGGGAATTGAAGTCCACAAGTCATAAAAGGGCCAAGTTTGAAGACCCCTTTCCTAAACTGAAACTATGGGACACCTGGTAAAAAGCATGATTATTTATAATAAAGTGGTTATTGAAACATTTCTAGCATACCCCAAAGTCTGTGAGTCATCTCACGTCTCAATGTCTTTCTGCAGCTAACCATTTAATAAACTTCATGGCACTCCAATTGCTTTCATTGTCACCAGAGAACAAGCTGAAGCAATCCAAACCAGTTCCCAACTTTCCATCCAACGTTATAATACCCAGGTAATGTGCTGCTGTGGCCAAATGGTATGTCCTACCAGGATCAATAGGTTGTATAATGTTACAAATGCATCCACTGTACTTGGCTACAGCACAGTAAAGCAGCCACATCTTTTCCCATTCTGGAAACAGGTATGTCTACTTTCCTAAGTCACAGACGAGTGCTGCGAGCGTGCTTCCACATACTCCATAACATTTTTTTCGGCATCACCATAGAAGCATCTCACAGCCTTGCCAGTTAGAAGTAACCAGATTGAAGCAGGTTGTACTCTTGAGGATAGTTAAGGTAGGCACAAGAACACTGGAGATGGAAAGTCATCTTTCCACCTTTAAGTACTGTAGATGATTTTCCAGGACGTATACTACTAATGTCATCCCTCTAAAGCAGTGTTTCTCAACCTTGCTGGCTTGAAGCTGTGTGGGCTTCTACTCCCAGAATTCCACAGCCAGCATGGAATTCTGGGAGTTGAAGTTCACACAGCTTCAAGCCAGCAAGGTTGAGAAACACTAACATCTGAGTTAAGGACACCATCTAAGGACATTAAAGTATTCTCAGAGGTTTGCCCTAATCTTCCCCATTATACTCCCATGAGTGCCACAACATTTTTTTTTAATGACAAAAAGTGTTTGTTTCCAATTCTTCACTGGCCTTCTCTGCAGATGCCCATTGTCTTAGTAGTGAATATCAGATTGTTATAGAGGAGTCAAAATGGCTGAAATATGTTTGTGTGTAGTGGATCTAAAGGAAGTAAGACAGAAGGTAAATATTGAGTAGAGTAGAAAAACAAAGGTTTCTGCGGAAGGAGGTGAGTAAGAGGAAACGCAGGGCCATGGAAAAAACATTTAGAGAGATGCATTTTGGCAAGATGGAGGACTGAGTTGGCTGCCTTGCACACAGATATATAGGCACATATAGTCAGTGATTATGTTGGCACATAAGTTGGGTGGCACCAAACAGTTTTTGTGAAATGTGCACACTGTTGCAGCAGGATGTTCAAAATAATTTTCTGTCTCCTCTTAAAAGAGTGTTTAAAAGCACCAAACCCACCACCACTGCTATAAAACTGCATAAAGTATTCATTAAATAATGCTAAAAACTGTTTTTAGAAGAACAAAGGATTTTTCTGAGTTGGTCCCTCTGTTGCAAGCACAGCCTGTAGACTGAATCTCGAATGTTCTTTTCCCCTCTTCTTTTGCTTCAATGGCCCAGATGTTGTTTTTTTTTTGCTTTTGACAAATTCAGTCTTATTATTCCCATAATAATTTCCCACAGTTTTCAGTCATTTCCCTTCTTTTGTGTCAAGGAGGAACGGAGTCACACAAAAAAAAAACCCCCACTTATTTTCCAGGACAAGCGAATGAGAACTTCAGAACATCCTCCAATCACAGGAAGAGAGCCACAGCAGGAACCGAATTCCCCTTTCTGAATGACAGTTATTTTTTTCAGACTCTCAGCACCAGCTGGGGGGGGGGGAACGTTAACCACTTAAAAAAAAAAAAAAAGCAAGGCTTTGGCCAAGCAAGGCAAATTTCCTAAGGGCAACTCACATGGAGCAACTCCTCCCTGTTTATCAGAATGAAGACACAGAATCAGCCGCCCGGGTAGAATTAGTCAATGCGGATTCAGAATCTTTCCCCCCCACACGAGGCAAGACAGACATCTGGTTGTCAAAAGCTGGTACAAGAAGTGGCAGCTGCTGCTGATCCTAGGCACATGGGTGAAGAAAGGATGAATGGTTACTGGATGGGGAGAAGAAAAAATTGCCCATGTGGGGGGGGTGACATCTTTGCAAGAGGCTGTAGTCGGAAATAGGTTTGGGCCATTCTCTTGATAGGTGGGGGTGCCGGAGGAAACCATCATTATTCGACATGCAGGATTAATCAGGAAATCTTAGGCACGAGGAATGCTCCCCTATGAGCACTTAAAGATTCACAATATACCTGAGCCGGGCAAGTGGTGACTGCTTTGCGGTAGAAGAATTTGGGAGTTGCAGGAAGTAAAGGCCCAACTCTGGAACAGCAACACAGCCTTTGCAAATTTGCCACAGCCTTTCCATCTCTGCAGAAGAGGCATGGGAGCCTGCAGGGAACAGCCAGGCCTGGAGAGGAACCAATAATACAGCACATGGGCTTACCGGCGAGTACCTGGATAGCTCTAAACCAGTGTTTCTCAACCTTGACAATTTTAAGGCATGTGGACTTCAACTCCCAGAATTCCACAGCCAGCAATGCTGGCTGTGGAATTCTGGGAGTTGAAGTCCACATGCCTTAAAATTGTCAAAGTTGAGAAACACTGCTCTAAACAGTGAAACATCCTTTCAGTGCAGCCGTTCAGTCAAAGAAAAACACAAAACTACAGAGCAGTTTCAGAAATTAGGGACATACCTGGGTCAACTCCAGTTTGCAACTGAAGAATGATGGTAGATAGTATTAAGTTATGTCCCTTCCCAAACTAATTATGGTTTAATTCACGCCTACTGGCAAACCATAGAGACAAATCTCTAGAGAACCTCCTCCAACCTCGTTTTGTCCAGAAATGGCTATTCCCAAGAATTCTGGGCATCGTATTTTCACATAGTTGGAGGACACCAGTTTGGGGAGTGTGGTGGAATGTAGTCTGGATTCCCAGAAGGCAGGGGTTGCATTCCAAAAGGGCAGCAAAGCTTAGTTTGGTTGGGAGAAAAAGAACGAAGAAGGCTCCTCCCTAACACTTCTCAGAGTATATATTCTGCATTGCAAATAGTTGCTTTAGTTTGGCAAGATTCTGTCTATTGGTGACAAACAATGAAGGAAACTACTTGGAAGTAATTCTACATATCTTTCTTGGTTCAGGGAACTTGACAGGGATGCAGTTCTAGGGGCTAAAAAGATAATTCTGGGAGATGAAGGAAAAACATCATACATGAGCCAAAAAGATAAAGGTTTTCCCTACCCCAGGGGTAGGCAACCTCGGCTCTTTTATGACTCATGGACTTCAACTCCCAGAATTCCTGAGGCAGCCATGCTGAGGGAAAAGGGAGAGGTTTGCAAGCTGAGCCATGCTGGCTCAGGAAGTCTAGGAGTTGAAGTCCATGAGTCATAAAAGAGCCAAGATTGCCTACCACTGCCCTATCCAGTTGTGTTTGACTCTATAAGGCATTGCTCATCTCCATTTCTTAGCCAAAGGAGCCAGTGTTATCCGAGGACATTTCTATGGTTCTGTGGCCAGCATGACTATACGCCAAGGCACACAGAACACTGTTACCTTCTCACTGAAGTTGTACCTATCTACTCACATTTGCATGTTTTCAAACTGCTAGATGGGCAGGATCTGGGGCAAGTATGGGAGCTCACATGGTGCTTGAGTCTCGAACCCAGGCTGACAGCTTTCCAGCTAACAAGCTAAGTGTCTTTAATCACTGAACCATCTACCCCCTTCACATGGGCCAAAGGGGCTCCCAAAAGACGAGGCATGCCAGAATTACATATTAATTACAAACCACAGGTTCTTTTTAAGGGGCAGGAGCTCTTCCAACAGCAGGTTTAAAATATCTTGAGCCTAATAAATGTTACGTGAACTCTAGAAAAAGGGAGTAATTTCTGATGAACACCCCAGTGAGATAACTGTGAGAGGAGGTGAGGGAGGGCCTTTTTTGCTTCAGACAGCTGAAACTCAACTGTAGCCGAGGTGGCGCAGCAGTTAGAGTGCAGTACTGCAGGCCACTTTAGCTGACTGTGTTCAGCAGGTCAGCAGGTTCAAATCTCACCGGCTCAAGGTTGACTCAGCCTTCCATCCTTCCGGGGTAGATAAAATGAGGACCCAGATTGTTGGGGGCAATGTAAATATATATATACATTGCTTACTGGTGTACACCGCTTAGAGAGTGCTTGCATTTAAAGCGGTATATAAGTCTCATAAATAAATAAATAAATAAATAAATAGTATTTCTATCACTGTATCTCAGAGATGGTGCTGCATAAGGGCTTGAGAATACAAACCAGTAAGAGTCTGAACTCAGTCACAACATTCATAGAGGTAGCAGATTTCTATAAAGAATGGATAGTTCTTGCCAACAACGAAAGCTCTCATTTTAGCTCGGGAATTTCCCACAAAGAATCAGTGGCTACTAGATATTTAGTTTAGAGGAGCCATTTACACATTATTGGGATAACAAATGAATCCTACAACAAAATACAAATAACTGGACAGCCATTTTTCTGAAATGGTATAGGGTTTCCTGCCTGAGCAGAGGGTTGGACTAGATGACCTCCAAGATCCCTTCCAACTTCTTCTTATTATTATTATTACTATTATTATTATTACCCTCACTTACCGACCATCCATTCAGCGACCTTTCAAAGTTAAGACAGTGCTGAAAAAAGAGACTTATGACTAGTCCACAAATTTGTGACCGTTGCAATGTTCCCCATCATGTGATTGTGACTCAGGTGTTTGGCAATCACAGCCACACATGTATACGATGTTCACAGATTTCCAGAGTCACGTGATAGCTATTTGCGACTTTCACCGCCAACTTCTGACAAACAAAGTCAATGGGGAAACTGGCAGGAACTCACAAGTCACATATGACATTGCATTTAACAACTGCAGGGGATTTGTTTAACAACCACAGCCAAAACTGACATCCTAAATCTGCATGGTCACATGACTCTTCCCTTTACAATCCTGCTGCCTACAAAGTTGCCAGTCCTTGTTGAGGTCTGTATTTGAGGAACACCTCTAATTTACTCTCAGATCTTCTCCTCCCCTTCTTCCCCCAGTAACATTTAAGCCAATATTTTGGGGCTCTTGGACATGCTTAGTTCTTCTTGGGTTGTTTCGGTTTTCTCTGAAGTTCTTGCCTCCAACATTGCTTTGGTATTTGCAAATTTCCCCCTCTCAATGTCTTTTAAGCAGAGCCCTTTCAAAAGTCCCTCATGAATTAAAAATTTTATGAGATCCCAATGTGCCACTGTTAAATGTGTGGGAACAATCATACTAGTATTTAATAAGCCTGCACAGAACTTTGAATTTAATTCTGAAAGGGGCCTCTGAGGGCAATAAAACATTCTTGTTCTAAAGAATTGCAGACAGCTGTTATATTTAGGTACCTACATATTTTAAAGCACCTTTTTGAATGAAATCTAAAGCACCACACTGATGAAATTCAGTTTTTGGTTTTGCCTTATGGAGCATGTCCACCAACATATCACTTAAAAGCCAAATATGGCTCTCATCAGACCAACACTCTCCTGCGTTTCAATGCATGTCCTTGGATGAATACTCAAAGTGGAACATCGTTGGTTCCAGAGAAGCAAAGCATGCGATCATTCTATAGAGACATTTCCCTTTATATTTTTATAACAATTTTATAATAGGTTTCAAAAAACAAAAACTCTTGTTTCAGGGTTAGAAGCAATGTGCTCTAATGTGTGAGAAGTTCTGGATAATAAAGGGGATTTTTAAAAGAATGGATTTGGGAAAAAAATGTGATGGAAATTGAGGATTTCATTTGCTTTTTGCAATTTGGTTGAAGGGAGTCTGAAAATAAAGCTTTCAGTTGACCATTAAAATGTTGAAATTATTCTAAAAGCTTAATACGGTCGTTTCTGGAAGTATAAAAAAAAAGCTCTAATCCTCAAAGAGCACAAATGTAAATGTGTCGATGCTTTTTTAAAATTAAACAAAGATAGAATTTGCTTCTTAACTACCCTGTACCTTTTAGAAAGGGCTCCCTTGTCCATTTTTTGAGTCTAATCTGGCCAGTTTTAAATACGGTTTGATGTCAACGCTGCTAACATTGGATGTTTGATAACCTGTGGAGAAGCAGTTTTGCTTCTTTAACTTGTGTGTTACTTTTAGAGTTAGAATTAGTTGACGCGGGGGAGGGGAGGAGGAAGAATGTCTCTCAAGGCTGTTTTGAAATAAGAAAAGATAAGAATTAGGCAGTTGTTGAACGGAAGGGAAACTTTGGCCTTCAAACTGATTGGAGAACATGATTTATGGCTGCTAATTGGAGGAGGAAGTTGTGTTTGAATATTAGGTGCTCAGGGGAGGGGAATTCAGATCTTGGCATCCACCATGTTCGTGCCAAAGGGTGCTGTACTAATAAAGAGACTTTAAGGTAAACAATGCCTCAAAGTTCTTTGAAGTATTCCCCTAATCGGAACCATGACATTTAATTTAAAAACTGGTATAGAAATGTGATGTTAACTATGCACGACCCAGAAACTGAAAAGCAATATTTTGCTATGTCAACTGCAAGATCAATCTGAGTGATTTAAAAAAAATAAAATAAGGACACTCAATCCTTACCATTTTTTCCTCACCTAAAACATCTGCAGTATAAAAAGTTTGTCAGCTCTTATTCTTCTGTTCTATCTCTCTGTCCGAAGCCCATTTCTACCCTTTTATAGAACTCTTATTCAATCCAACAGAAAGCACCTTTTACATGTCCTAGCATTACACTAGATATTAAAAAAAACCCTCCAGGATGCCCGTTCCTATTGGCATAGTTCTTACCCATATTCATCAGAAATCACCTTCCTTACATGCTAAACAGTACTGTGAGGCCAAGTCTGACTACAGAACAAGCATGCTGTGAATGCTCCAACAATGGAAGTTTTTAAGAAGAGTCTGGACAGCCATCTGTCCGAAATGGTATAGGGTTTCCTTCCTGAGCAGGGGGTTGGACTAGATGACCTCCAAGGTCCCTTCCAACTTTATTATTATTATTATTATTATTATTATTATTATTACTACTACTACTACTACTACTACTACTACTATTACTACTACTACTACTACTATAACCTGCTTGGCCCTGTCTATCTCAATTCACCATGCTGGCTAGCTTTTTTTCCTTTTGGGCAGCGAACAACTGATTTCTGATTTGCATTTGGTACTAGAAACATCCCTGCTTACATTTATATTTTTATTTTACTTATGTCAAGATTTATACTCTGCTTTTCTATGCAGGCACGTCCCTCAGTTCCTCATCTATGAAAACCTACGTGACCCTGGTTTTTTTCCAAGCTACCATGTAGTCTGGAGGTGGTGAATTAAGACTCTTTTATGACTTGTGGACTTCAACTCCCAGAATTCCTGAGCCAACATGGCTCAGGAGTTGAAGTCCACAAGTCATAAAAGGGCCATGGTTCCCCACCCCTGATGGGGTCCCTGGTTTCCTCATGTTTGTCTGACTCCTGCCTGACTCTTATTTCTTCTCTTCACACAGCTGCCAAAGATGGTCATCCTAACAGCTGTCCATTCACCCTGGCCTAGAGCTCACCCTGCTATTACACATCTCGGCCAGTTTTTTCTGTAAAAATCCTTTATTGGGAAGGAGGAGAGTTCAACTCCCAGCGACATGATTTCCTGTTTGCGTAGACCCAAAGAAGTGCTGCTCAGGCCCTATAGTTTGATTTTTGCCTACAGCAACCAGCCTGAGGGGAGAACTGCTCTTGGGTGCCGGATAGTTTTTGCCTCCCAGTGACAGTCGCCTTCTGATCATAGCTGCTCTAATGGCACCGAATTCCACCGTGGAAACTAAAGCTACCCCCCTGGGGGACGAAGGCTTGGAGGGCAAGGGTATGTTATGTACGAAGGAGTGCCCTAAGCATTGCAAACGGGCCTGCACTTTGGGCCTCACCGGATAGGAGGAAGAAAGGAGAGCACGAGAAACAGGCAGCTCACCAGAGACAGTATGGATTTCCTGCAGATGTAGCCTCAGGCCCGGCTTCCTACCTACCATACTGGTGAGCTTGGCATGATTGACAGTAGACTCCTGGGGGTTAGCAGTCAATTCCTGAGAGCTCGATTTGGCACAGAGCTGAGCTGGCTGTGTCACTTTACCTCCTGTTACGACCGTTGTCGTAGCCATACTGTGTGCCATCAGCACTCTTCGGTTACCGGGGTCTACTTTGAGCTTGCTGGGCAGCTTAAATTTCACCGAGCTTGAAGGAGCGAGTTTGCTAGGGGTGGGCTTCTCTTTAACTTTGTTCTCCTTCCCAGGAGCTCCTGGCTCTGTGGTCTTGTTGTTTGCTGCTGTCCAGCATGGGGTAGGTGCACGAGGAAGACTCTGGTTATTGCGCCGGTGAATCGATTTAGGAACTCTTTGCTGCTGTGGAGCATTGCAGCCGTTCTTGGTGTCAGTGGCTGGAGGGGGGCTTCTTTGGGGTGGAGGTTGAGGCTTCTTCACTGTGGATCCTTCTACCAAAAGGCTAATGCCAATGTATTGGGGAATCTCCACAGCAGCCTATTGTGAGAAGAAGAAGATGATGGGGTCAAAAGGAAGCTATTAACTTCTCCCGAGGGCAAGTAAGAGCAGGAGAAAATATCTAACTAACTGTTATGACCCAGGTGGTCAAGGCAAGGCAGGCCTCTATTGCTCTCAATAAATGTTCTAACAAATAGCCTTCCAACAACGGGTAAGGCTCCACCCCATGCTACTCTTAAAGGCAGCCCTTCTCAGTGCCCCAAACAACAACTCCTATATTACAAAGAAAGTCCACAGAGTAGCAGCACGCTCACAGAGCAAGGTCCAAGGTCTCAAGTTCAGTCCACTGTACACGAGGCAAACTGTAGTCCAGTGGTTCTCAACCTGTGGGTCGGGACCCCATTTGGGGTCGAACGACCATTTCACGGGGGTTGCCAAACAACGCAGTCCGCCATTTTTTTCCCCCTTTTCCTTAGCTGTACTACTCCCTTTTATTCTATTGGCTTTCGAAAGCCAATAGAATAGACTCTCTTGAATAGAGTCTGGTTCTATTGGCTTTCAAAAGCCAATAGGAATTGTCCAGGCTGTCTCTGCCCTGCTGAGCCCGCCAAAAGTCCCAATCTGCAAACGGTGCTGCACCAGTTGAGTAGTCCTCGACTTACGACCGGTTGAGTAGTCCTCGACTTACAACCAGTTGGGGGTAACGGCATTAAAAAGGTTGAGAACCACTGCTGTAGTCCATCAGGCAAAGTCAAGGCCCAAGACAAAAGACAGTCTTCAAGGCAAAGGCAAAAGGCAGGAGTCAAAGCCAGGGCAGGGTAAGCCAAAACAAGCAATTGTTCTTGCCAAAGACTAACTCCCCATGGCTTCTCCTTAAGTCAATCCACTCCAGGTGGCCCTTGTGAGGAGGGTTGGGATGACCTCCTCCTGAGTAATCTCACAGTCCTTCTCTGAGCTTGCCTCTGTGCCCTTGGATCAAGTGGGGGAGGCAGCAGTTCCTCAACAGGGGATCTGCTGCCTATCAGTATCACTGCCTGTCAGCAGCTGATCCTTCCCTGTGTCTGTGAAGGCAGGCGGTTCTTCCATTGGGTTGACCACCTCCTTCAATGCCTGAGGAGCATTGGATTGTCCTCAGTTCCAGGCTTCTCCAAACATTCCAAGGGAGATGTGCCATTCCTGTCAGACAGTCCTGTTTCCAACTCCTGCTCCTCCTCCTCCAAACCAGGGTCTGATGGGACCATGACACAACTATTTAGTCTGTTGCAAACAATAGTAAGGAAATATAGCTGATCTCCATACCACAAGTAATTAAGGTAGGATGCAGGACTTCACTAATGTTATGTAGATACAGGTACTTCTTGACTTACAACCACATCCAGGCCCGGAGTTTTGGTTGCTAAGCAACGCAGTCATTGTGCCAGTCATCACATAACCGACTCAATTTTATGACCACTTTTACCACGGTTGTTAAGCAAATCATGCAATTGTTAAGTGACTTACACAGTCATTAAGTAAATCCAACTTCCCTCATTGGGATTGCCAGCTGGGAAGGTCACATATGGTAATCAAATAACCCTGGGTCACTGCAGCCATCATAAATGCAAGCCAGTTGTCAAGCACCCAAATTGGAATCACGTGACGATGAGGGTACTGCAACGGTTGTAATTTCAAGGATGGTTCATAAGTCACTTTTTTTCAGCACCGTTAAAATCTGGACAGTTAATAAAAAAAATGGTCATATGTTGAGGACTACCTGTGCTCTATAAAGCATGAGTAAAGGGAGATTAACAATTGTGCAATAAACACCAGGATAGTTCCAGGTAGATAATTCCAGAATTATTTCCTACAGATTCTTTTCAATTTCAGATTCAGAAATTATTTTTGGAGTATGGTGGAAGGAGGTTGGTCTAAATTTTAAGCAAACAATATTAACTTTGGTATTTTGCATTTCAAAGATTTATATATGAAGAAAAGGTACGGAATAGCAACTCCCTCTCCTCATCCATGTATTTCTAGATGTACTTCAGAGGACCCCCTCAACCTTCAAGTCACGTTTCACAGGTATACATGAAGAAAAGGAGAATTTAAACCTTCTGTTACATGAATAGGATGTTTATGGTTAGCATAGTGCTAACTATGGTATTTTGTATTTCTGAACAATAAAAGAGAAATATTATGTGTCCTGATAATACACTTCAGTGAGTACACGATTCAAGTCTAAACAAACAAAAATATGCAAGTGATTGTGCAAAATAGGAATTTCATGCTGAATATTGCGCCTTTAGAGAATGTGAATGGGGAGAGAAGAATGGCTAGATGGCTGGGACAAGCAAACAAATACCTTACAGTACTGATCAAGATCCATACTCTATATAGATAAGACACATACATTTCTCTAACCAAAACAACAAACAAAAGAAAACCCACTAGGACTGAGTAGTGCATTTTACAATTCTGCAAGATCAAAAAATGAAAAAGCCAGTTTCAAGTAAAATTAATCTTGTATCTAGACCAGTGGTTCTCAGCCTGTGGGTCAGGACCCCATTTCACGGGGGTCGCCAAACAACGCAGTCCGCCATTTTTTTCCCCTTTTCCTTAGCTGTGCTACTCCCTTTTATTCTATTGGCTTTTGAAAGCCAATAGAATAGACTCTCTTGAATAGAGTCTAATTCTATTGGCTTTCAAAAGCCAGTAGGAATTGTCCAGGCTGTCTCTGCCCTGCTGAGCCCGCCAAAAGTCCCATTTTGCAAACGGTGCTGCACCAGTTGATAGTCCTCGACTTACGACCGGTTGGGGGTTGCGGCATTAAAAAGGTTGAGAACCACTGATCTAGACACAACCAAATATGGAAGCAGTCTATTCATTTTGCTTGGAAATGATGAAAACATAAAAGGTGTCATGTTCTGTTGTGTGTATTGTACCATTAAAACTCAATAAGAGACCCATTCTTTGAGCCTAATGTTCCCCTCACAGAAACAACAAAAATTTCACCCTTAGTTAACCCTTATAAAGCAAATATGTAAATGTTTATGACCACTCTGAAATATGAATGGCGCCTAAATATGTTTCTGATTTTCATTCTAAATAAGAGTAGTTCTCAAGAATCGAGTTCTTGAGAAATGCAGAAAGAATTTAATCTTTGGGACAGAAAACAAGCACTACCCAGTATACAGATCTCAAACATCTGGATTTTTTTTTAAAAAAACCATGTATGCATATATGATTCTGCCTTTGTTAATGCCCAGCCGGAGAAGTTTATCCTAGATGCTAACTCACATGGTCTCAGAATGGGCCACAGATACAATTGCTTTTGGCTCAAGAAATAAAGCAACACAACACACATATACACACACACAATGTAAGCAGGGAAAACAAGCTGGACTCATTAAAAAAAAACACCTTCCACCAATAAACACAACAGTTTCACCCCTCTGCTACAATTATATCAGTATGAATTTCCCTGACTATTCCTTGGGCTTTGTTAGATAATGAAGCAAAGGAAAGAAGGCTCAACTGGCTAAGCAACCGGAGTGTGGGGAAAATATATTTATTATTTATTAAATTGATATGTCACATATCTCGCCAATAAAACAACTCTGGGCAGCTTACAAAATGGTAAAAGAATAAATATAAACAGTTAGAACAGTGGTTCGCAACCTGTGGGTCGGGACCCCATTTGGGGTCGAACGACCATTTCACGGGGGTTGCCAAACAACGCAGTCCGCCATTTTTTCCCCCTTTTCCTTAGCTGTGCTACTCCCTTTTATTCTATTGGCTTTTGAAAGCCAATAGAATAGACTCTCTTGAATAGAGTCTAATTCTATTGGCTTTCAAAAGCCAATAGGAATTGTCCAGGCTGTCTCTGCCCTGCTGAGCCCGCCAAAAGTCCCATTCTGCAAACGGTGCTGCACCAGTTGAGTAGTCCTTGACTTACGACCGGTTGAGTAGTCCTCGACTTACGACCGGTTGGGGGTCGCGGCATTAAAAAGGTTGAGAACCACTGAGTTAGAATTAATAAGACTTAAATAAGGACTAAAGAACTAAAAGGGGACAGACAGCATGGGGTGGAGGCTTCTCTCTTATTCTGTCAGCCACCCCCAGCACCGAGCACCATAGGGCCAGGCCAGCTGGAAAAGCCAGGTTTTCAGGCTCTTTCGGAAGGCCAGGACCCTGGGGGCTGGCCTCACTTCTGAAAGGAAACAGGTGGGGGGCCACAGCAGAAAAGGCACTTCTAGATCCTGCCAGCCGAAATTCTTTGGCAGACGGGATCCAAAGAAAGCCTCTTCCGCTGGAGTCAGCAAGGTGGGCCAATCCCATTGGGGCAAGATGCCTCCTCAGAAAACTGGGACCCGTGCCATAAAGGTGCACTAGTGCTCTACTTCCCGTCTTCATTGGGTTTTTTTTAATTGTTATGATTTCTATTGCAGTGAGGAGGAACATTTGTGCAGGGGGAACAGCAAAGCCACCTCCAGTGCCACATGAAAAAATACGTCACCGTGCCATCTTGATTTCAGGACCAGGATGAGACAGAAATTTCCACCAATCGGAAGCCGCCATCCTACTACTTTGATAGTGATTGGTGGGACATGGAGAAGACACCCAAGACACAGTGAACTACACACTCAAACCATTTGTTTAGTAACTGTTTGAAGTTACAATGGCACTGAAAAAAACAACAATTTAGGACAGCTTCCACCCTTACGACCGTTGCAGTATCCCTATGGTCACGTGTTCAGAATTTGGATGCTTGGCAACTAGCATGTTCATCAACAATTTGGACGAAGGGATAGATGGGGACCTCATCAAATTTGCAGACGACACCAAGCTGGCAGGAATAGCCAACACTCCAGAAGACAGGCTTAAGATACAGAAGGATCTGGACAGACTTGAACACTGGGCACTAACTAACAAAATGAAATTCAATGGTGAAAAAAGTAAGGTTCTACATTTAGGCAAGAAAAACCAAATGTACAGGTATAGTATAGGTTGTCCTTGCTCAATAGTAGTAACTGTGAGAGGGACCTCGGAGTCCTAGTAGACAATCACCTAAATATGAGCCAGCAGTGTGCTGCAGCTGCCAAAAAGGCCAACACAGTGCTACATTAACAGAGGGATAGAATCAAGATCACATGAAGTATTAATACCACTTTACAATGCCTTGGTAAGGCCACACTTGGAATACTGCATTCAGTTTTGGTCACCACGATGTAAAAAAGTTGTTGAGACTCGTCTAGAAAGAGTACAGAGAAGAGCGACAAAGATGATTAGGGGACTGGAGGCTAAAACATATAAGGAACGGTTGGTAGAATTGGGTATGTCTAGTTTAACGAAGAGAAGGACAAGGGGGGATATGATAGCAGTATTCCAACATCTCAGGGGCTGCCACAAAGAAGAGGGAATCAAGCTATTTTCCAAAGCGCCTGAAGGCAGGACAAGGAAACTAATCAAGGAGAGAAGCAACCTAGAACTAAGGAGAAACTTCCTGACAGTGAGAACAATTAATCAGTGGAACAACCTTCCTCCAGAAGCGGTGAATGCTCCAACACTGGAAGTTTTTAAGAAGAGATTGGACAGCCATTTGTCCAAAATGGTATAGAGTTTCCTGCCTGAGCAGGGGGTTGGACTAGATGACCTCCAAGGTCCTTTCCAACTTTACTATTATTATTGTTGTTGTTGTTGTTGTTTATGACGGTTGCAGTGTCCCAGGGTCATGTGATCAGCTTTTGCAACCAAAATTCAAGGGATAAGCCAAATTCACTTAACGACTATATTATTAACTTAACAACTGCCACAATTCACTTAACAACCCTGGTAAGAAAGGTTGTAAAATAGGGCAAAATTCACTTAACAACTGTCTTGCTTAGCAACAAAAAGATGGGGCTCAGTTGTGCTTGTAGGTCAAGGATTACCTGTACCCTGAGTTGCAAAGGTAGAACCCCAATTAGGTAAACCCAATATAAAGAGAATCAACCTGGAAAAAGTGAGGTAAGCATTCCAAGGAATTTAATGAAGATGGGGACACTCACCTGTTTATAGATGAGCTCAAAGTTTCCTGTGTTGCAGTTGCGATCGTATTTGCGGTCAATGACCACACGCAAAGTATCTTCCTGCACACTGGCACACAGTCGGGTGGTGACAGATGTAGAGGCTGCCATGGTGGGGCTGGCATTGATCTCAATCAGCCACGGCTGATAGTTTTCTCCAAAGAGAAAGTCTGCCCCATAAAGCTCAAAGCTGTTTTTGCGGAACTCCACGAGGTCCTGAGAGGTCTGTATGGCGTGAATGATGGCCGCCTTCATGCCAGGCACAATCACCTTAGACCAGGCCTCTGGTGCTCCCATTTTCCGCAGGTGGATCTGGAATTGATCAGACGACCACATGTTGTCTGGGGGAAGCTCAGAATGGCGGTTTAGGGAATTCTCATAATGTTTCTGGATGGAGTTATTGCACAGGTGGATGGAACTGGGGTGAAGAAGATGAAGATGGGATCAATAACTGGCACCAGATCATATGCCAAGGATTTTAATACAGGATATATCTACTAAGCCCAGCCCATAAAAACTCCTTATTGGGCACATAGGAAAGGTCCTTCTCCTGTCTGGATCTGAAACTCTGGAACAGGGGTCTTCAAACCTGGCCCTTTTATGACTTGTGGACTTCAACTCCCAGAATTCCTCAGCCAGCATGCCTGGCTGAGGAATTCTGGGAGTTGAAGTCCACAACTCATAAAAGGGCCAAGTTTGAAGACCCCTGCTCTAGAACATACTTTCTTTGGAATTGGGATCAGTTCTCACTTCCTTTGTTTTCTATTTCTATTGTTATTTATCTTATGATAAGTGTAATTTGATGTTCATAATTATTATATTTTATGTAGGGATCCTTGGTGCTTTCTGAGCTTGGTAATTTTCTTGCAGGCATTTCATTACCAAACTAGGTAATGTCATCAGCGCATATTTAATTTATTATACCCCACCTTTTATTACTTTTATAAACAACTCAAGGCAACAAGCACGTCTAATACTCCTTCCTCCTCTTATTTTTCCCACAAGAACCACCCTGTGAGGGTGGGTTGGGCTGAAAGAGAGGGACTAGAGTGCCAGAGGTAGGCAACCTTGGCTCTTTTATGACTCGTGGACTTCAACTCCCAGAATTCCTGAGCCAGCCGTGCTGAGGGGAAAGGGAGAGGTTTGCAAGCTAAGCCATGCTGGCTCAGGAATTCTGGGAGTTGAAGTCCACGAGTCATAAAAGAGCCAAGGTTTGCCTACCCCTGGACTAGACCAAATCTACCTAAACCAGTGTTTCTCAACCTTGACAATTTTAAGGCAGGTGGACTTCAACTCCCAGAATTCCACAGCCAGCGATGCTGGCTGTGGAATTCTGGGAGTTGATGTCCACATGCCTTAAAATTGTCAAAGTTGAGAAACACTGACCTAAACTCATTAGATGTTAATTAGCTTTGTTTCATTCTTTTGATTTCTTTTTGTTGTTTTTATTCTGCCTTTATTACTTGTAATTATTCTATTACTTGTAATAAACTCTAGGCAGTGAATATACACTCCTCCTCCTCCTCCTATTTTCTGCCACAACAACAATCCTGTGAGGTTGGTTGGGCTGAGAGAGTGACTGAACCAAGGACAACCAGCCAGCTTTCATGCCTACAGCCAGTCTAAAACTCACAGTCTCCTGGTTTCTAGCCTGGATCGTTAACCATTAGAGCAGTGGTTCTCAACCTGTGGGTCGGGACCCCATTTGGGGTCGAATGACCATTTCACGGGGGTCGCCAAACAACGCAGTCCGCCATTTTTTCCCCCTTTTCCTTAGCTGTGCTACTCCCTTTTATTCTATTGGCTTTTGAAAGCCAATAGAATAGACTCTCTTGAATAGAGTCTAATTCTATTGGCTTTCAAAAGCCAATAGGAATTGTCCAGGCTGTCTCTGCCCTGCTGAGCCCACCAAAAGTCCCATTCTGCAAACGGTGCTGCACCAGTTGAGTAGTCCTCGACTTACGACCGGTTGAGTAGTCCTCGACTTACGACCGGTTGGGGTCGCAGCATTAAAAAGGTTGAGAACCACTGCATTAGACAAACTGGCTCTCTCTTTGTAGTAGAGTTGAATGGCACTCTTTGTAAGAAAAGCAACAAATTGTACTAATATAAGAAAATTACATTATACGTAATACAAGTTCAATTTTGAAAAATCAAGTAAAGCAAACAGATACTGGAAGCAATGTCCTGTCGAGCCACATCAGTGATCTACTTATTTCTGTAAGTCTGCCATAATAAATGAGAATAGTCTTCTAAGAGTTAAGCGAGGAGTCCTTCGAAGTTTTAGCACTATAAAAGGCAGAGACAACCTTTCTGCCACAGTTCTTTGCTTTAATATGTAGGCTTTTTTCTTGGTTTCCCCCCCCCTTCTTTGCATTCTCACAAAATAATGCTCCTCTCAACCAATATTTACTTACTCATTCTGCTATGAAATACTATTAGATATTATTTATAGCTCTTTTTTAAAAAAAATCCTTCAACTATATCTACTTCTCAAGTGAGCTTTCAGGTCTATATTGAATTGATACTCATTTTCACACCTAGTATTTTTGTGTTCCCCCCCTCCCCCCCATTTCTAGTCACCCCATATGCTTCTTTTCCTTGCCCTTTCTGTAAGGCAGAGGTCCCCAACCTTTTGGGCACCAGGGACCGGTGCCATGGAGAAAAGTTTTTCTGGGGCCAGAGGGGGAGTGGTTTTGAACACTGCCTGCATCCTGAGGATGGAGCTTTGCTTGTTTGTGTAGCCCACTTGCTGGCATGCTGCCGACCGGTGCTGGTCCATGGACTGGAGGTTGGGGACCCCTGCTGTAAGGGACAAATCTAATAACGTACTATTTCATAGTTGCTGTTCAGTAAATTTTTCTGTACGAAGGACCCAGTTTAATGACAATAGGATAAGTCACTGGAAGCATATGACTATATGAAGCTGCCCATGCTAGAAGCAGAGCTCCAAAGGTTTCATATAGACTCCCCCAAACATAATATTTACTCTGGAATAACATAAATAATCCTGAATATTTTAACGGGACATTAAGACAGTGAATAGATTAATCCAGGGGTCTTCAAACTTGGCAACTTTGACTTGTGGACTTCAACTCCCAGAATTCCTCAGCCAGCCCTCAGCGCTGGCTGAGGAATTCTGGGAGTTGAAGTCCACAAGTCTTAAAGTTGCCAAGTTTGAAGACCCCTGGATTAAACCAATGTTCTTAATGACATTGCCACAAAATCTCATGGCTTCTTCTTGCTCCTATGTGCATCCACACATGGAATAATATAAATGACAGAGTCAACAAGAAGACAAACTCACGTATCCAGATTGTGTAAGGAAAAGGGCTGTGTAGAGAAACGGATGTAGCTATGTCGATAGAACCATATAGTGAGCGGATTCCAATCAGTTACCAAAAACCATTGCCGTAAGTCAAACTTGGTGCCAAAGATGAGCAGGGGTGTCTCGATGTATTTCTGCACCACCCATTTGCCATCCTTGACAATCATGGGGTCACAGTCCACTAGTTTCACAATCTCCTCTAAGCGGTCCATGCACATGATGCCTGTCAGAAAATTTGATTTATTTATTTGATCTATATCCTGCCTTTCTATATTTATTTACATGCTTGCTATTTTGTCCACAACAACAACTCTATGAGGTAAGTTGGGCTGAGAAAGAGTGACTGATGCAAAATCACCCAGCTGGCTTTCATGACTAAGATGGGACTAGAACTCACAATCTCCTGGTGATTGGTCCAACCTCACCCAACTAGCTTTCATGCCTAAGGTGGGACTAGAACTCACAATCTCCTGGTGATTGGTCCAACGTCATCCAACCAGCTTTTATACCTAAAGTGGGACTAGAACTCACAATCTCCTGTTGATTGGCCCAAAGTCACCCAATTAGCTTTCATACCTAAGGTGGGACTAGAACTCACAATCTCCTGTTGATTGGCCCAAAGTCACCCAATTAGCTTTCATGCCTAAGGTGGGACTAGAACTCACAATCTCCTGGTGATTGGCCCAAAGTCACCCCACTAGCTTTCATACCTAAAGTGGGATTAGAACTCACAATCTCCTGGTGATTAGCCCAAAGTCACCCCACTAGCTTTCATGCCTAAGGTGGGACTAGAACTCACAATCTCCTGTTGATTGGCCCAAAGTCACCCAATTAGCTTTCATACTTAAGGTGGGACTAGAACTCACAATCTCCTGGTGATTAGCCCAAAGTCACCCCACTAGCTTTCATACCTAAGGTGGGACTAGAACTCACAATCTCCTGTTGATTGGCCCAAAGTCACCCAATTAGCTTTCATGCCTAAGGTGGGACTAGAACTCACAATCTCCTGGTGATTGGCCCAACGTCATCCAACCAGCTTTCATGTCTAAGGTGGGACTAGAACTCACAATCTCCTGTTGATTGGCCCAAAGTCACCCAATTAGCTTTCATACCTAAGGTGGGACTAGAACTCACAATCTCCTGTTGATTGGCCCAAAGTCACCCAATTAGCTTTCATACCTAAGGTGGGACTAGAACTCATAATCTCCTGGTGATTGGCCCAACGTTACCCAACTAGCTTTCACGCCTAAAGTGGAACTAGAACTCACAATCTCTCAGTTTCTAGGGCCAGTACTTTAACCACTACACCAAACTGGTTCTCTGACGAGTACTTAAGCTAGCTAACAAAATGTTTGAAAGGTAAAAGCAGAAGGTATAAAATTAAAAGCATAAAATCAAAATTAATACTAAAGAAATCAATTAAAAGCATGATAAAAGGGAAGTGCCTTTATAAATTTTGTTCAAATACTTTGTGCATGCCTTTTACCGAATGCCGCATTCATCTTATTGGCTGTAATCATTCACAATAATGCTTAAAATCCAAATCCACAGTTAGTTACCAGTGCAGCATATTATTTACAAATAATCTGGATCAAGAGCTTTGGGAAACCAGATGGCCGTAAAGTTGAAAAAGCCAAAATTAGGGTTGGCTGATGTCTGTTGACATTAAATTACACGGAATTGTTCCCACGCAACTTTCAATGTTCTTTACCAATTATGTGGAAATACAAAATCCGAGTTCGGATATCACACTGAGCCATAATATGGTTTTCTTGGTCTTAGAGTCTCATGCAAATTCATCTAGTATAATGGTTTCTTACCTAACATGCCATGGTTAAAGAATGGCTTGGTATGATACATGAATCCAGCCCCAAAAAAATCTACACAGACTGAAGCATCTCCCAACTGCTTTGTCAACTCCATCTTCTCAAGGTATTTGGGTTATTTCATCTGTGTCCAGTAGACTTACCTCTGCCACGAGACTTAGCTCCTGGTTTGACAATCCAGATGTTCCTGTCCCCTTCCATGTCCAACTGTGGGGTGACTTTTTGCAGTCGTTGCAAGATATCATCACAGCGCTCAATGAGGCCCTCTGTCTGTGTCATCTGGGCCCCTTCGCTGTAATGACAAATACTTGACCCAATAGCATGACCCAATGCCCTTCCATGGTCGTAACCTGTGCCAGGGAGAGAGAACCTATGGCCTATGGATTGCAAACAGCTTCTGAGCCCCTAGAAATTGTGTTACTGCATTACATTTGAGGACAAGCCATCAAGAAACAACAGCAGAATGTGTACCCAGAGTCACTTGTTAGTGAGATAGGCCAGAGCTCCCCAGCCTTTCTGGCTTGGTGGCCCGGAACGAAAGGGAAGAGCACAGAAATGTGCATGCGCGGCCCATGCACAGTGGCAGTGCTAGTGCATGCATGCTCAAGCAGGCCGTGCACACCCACAGCGGCGCACTGGTATCCGTGCACATGCGCAAATGGGCCGCTGGTACCCACACAAACAGACCGCTGGAGCCCGCATGCATCCACAAATGGGCCACTGTGGCCCACACACATGCGCAAATGAGGCCATTAGTGCCCGCACGATGGTACTACCGCGAGTGGGGGGGGGGCTCGCCAACTATTCTCATGGCCTGGTGGCCAAGAGGCCACAGCCTGGTACCGGAATGCAGACCATAGGTTGGGGAGCCCTGAGGGAGGCGACATATAAATGTAATAATAAATAAATAAATAAATTCCTAACATGTGGAGACAGAACAAAATAAGAAAATGTATTATAAACTGTTCACGTTAATACACTGAAAGTTCTCATGCATCTCCCTCAACAGGAAAATCACTGGAAATCAGTCCCAGGGCCTCATCAGAAATCACTGTTTCCCTACCGTAGCCCTCAGTTGTCAGAAGGCTGCCCATCCTTGTCCTTTTCAGTATTAGCAAGTATTTGTTTATTTTTATTTAGAGGAAGTCCTCGACTTACGACCACAAGTGAGTCTAAAATTTCCATTGCCAAGGGAGGTGCTTATTAAGAGACCTATGTCTCATTTTATGACCTTTTTGCCACAGTTGTTAAATGAACGCACAGCAGTTGCTAAGGGAATCTGGCTTCCCCCATTTGACGTTGCTGGTCAGAAGCCAACCGGGAAGGTCACAAAGGGTGATCACGTGATCCCGGGACGGTGCAACCATCAGAAATACATGCCAGTTGCCAAGCGCCCAGATTTTGAACAGGTGACCAGGAGAGGCTACAATGGTCCTAAAGAGTGAAAATCAATCATAAACCACTTTCTTCAGCGCTACTTTAACTTTGAACAGTTACTAAGCAAACGGTTGTAAGTCGAGGCATACTTGTGCAGTTGCAGAAATGAGATCTATTGATTGCAGAAACTGGTGGTTCCCCCCCCCCACACACTTTACCCCAAAGTTGAAACTTTTGTGCTTACTGGGCGATCTGATAGTAGCTGTGCAGAAAGTCCTGCCAGTGTCCTTTTGACAGCTGCATGGCAGATCCCGATTCTCGGTCGATGTCCTGATGTTTCAGGCTGCTCAAGTGCTCCTCGCAAGCGTGTATTGCTGTCTCAATCAGCTGGGCTGAGAAATTGGCCCCTTTCTTGTGGCGGATGCGATGCTTGGCTTCTAGAAGTGAAAGATTAGTGACCCAACGATACTGGGTATGTGACAAGGGACAGCCTGAGCACTGGGGTCAAAAAGGCAAACTGGTGGAAAGCCAAGATGTTTTGTTTTCTATCTAAATATTTCAAGTCACACTGGGCTGCTGATGAGTGCCTAAATGTCATTTTGTTCATGTACAAAAGGAATCCGTCATGGCCCCATCGGAGCCCGGTTCAGAGGAGGAGGAAGAGGAGGAGTTGGAGCCGGGATCCTCCGACAGGGATGGCACGTCTCCCTCCCTCGGCATGTTTGGAGAGGGAGGGAATGTCTGGGGCCGAGGACGATGCTGTCTCAGGCCCCTCAAGCATTGGGGAAGGTGGTCGACCAGACGGAGAGCTGCCTATCTTCACAAACATGGGGGCAGGGGGTGAGAAATCAGCTGCTGACAGACAGTGGTGCTGATAGGCAGCAGATCCCCTCTGATGAGGAACAGCTGCCTCCTCCACTCGATCCAAGGGCAGGGAGAGCAGAGCTTAGGCAAGCCCAAAGAGGAGCTGCAAGGCTACTCAGGAGGAGGTCGCCCCACCCCTCCTCACAAGGAACACCCGGAGGGGAGTAACTTAAGGAGAAGCCGTAGGGAGCTCATCTTTGCCAGGAACAATGGGTTTTTTTTGGCTTACACTCCCCCCGGCTTTGACTCCTGCCTTTTGCCTCTGTCTTGCCTTGCCTTGAAGGCTGCTTTTCGCCTGTTGCTTTGCCTAGCCGTGAGGACTGCCTTCTGCCTTTTGTCTCGGACTTTGCCCTTGTCTTGTGGACTGCTGTTTGCCCTTTGCCCTTTGCCTTTGCAACCGCCTTTTGCCTTCTACCTAGCCTTTGCCCTGAGGACTGCTGTGTCTTGCCCCTGAACAGTACCTTGTAGACTACAGTTTGCCTGGTGCATGTGCTTAGCCGGGTGGTCTGGACCTGGGACCCTGGACCTGGCCCTGTGAGCGTGCTCCTACTCTGTGGACTTTCTTTGTAATATAGGGGCTGTTGTTTTGTTTGGGGCACTGAGGATGGCCGCCTTCAGGGTAGCGTGGAGTGGAGCCTTACTGGTTGTTGGAAGGCCATTTGTTGGAACATTTATTGAAAGCAGGGGTCCCCAACCCCCAGTCCGTGGACCAGTACCGGGCAGCGGCATGCCAGCAACCGGTCCACACAAGCAAGCAAAGCCCCATCCGTGGGATGCCGGCAGCACACAAAACCACGCCCCCTCCGGTCCGTGGAAAAACCTTTCTCCACTGAACTGGTCCCTGGTGCCCAAAAGGTTGGGGACCTCTGCTCTAGGGTCATCTATCTACCGTGCCTCACCCCCACCTTATGGATGCCACCGAGTTAGTGCAGGCACGCATACACTCCCATGCCATCAATGAAAACCCAAGCTTTATTTAACAACCTATAAAAACTGGGTACGTGTTGGATTAATCTTTTTCATGCTCTACTAACCTCTCTTTTACAAGCCCGATGTATCAGCCTACAGCATTCCCTAAGAAGCATGCTGGCTGTTGGAATAAGGGGACCTATATTCTCCATCTGCCTAGACGAGTGATGGCGAATCTTTTAGAGACCAAGTGCCCCAAAACCGCCCCGCCCCCGCTTCGCGCTCTGCCACCGCCTTGCCCGCCTGCAGGACCATTCACTGCCTCCATGGCCCGCCACAGCAGATGGCCCAGGCGGCCTTGGAGTGCCATGGCAGCCACGCCCTCCACCCACACCCCGCAGCATCATCTGCACGCGATGGGGCACAAGAGCGGAGTCTTGTACCTGCTGCCCAGTTGCCATCCTTGGCTGCATTGCTCCATGCAGGCCGTGTCTGCGGGAGACAATCCTCTGGGGGGGGGGCTGTTGGTGAGGAGGGAGCCATGGGGGGAGGCAGGGATGGGGCAACAGCGCGCGTGCCCACAGAGAGGGCTCCGAGTGCCGCTTCTGGCACACATGCCTTGGTTCACCACCACTGGCCTAGACAGCACCGATTGGGAAGGTTTCCATTGTACGTATTAAGGGAATTCCAGAATTGTAACTATTAACCAGATTTTTTAAAATAAAAAAAGCAATGCATCTTATTTATGACATCCACGATTATGCACCAGAGACAAGCTGAAATGTTTCTCCCGTGCTCGGTTAGTACATGTAGTCCTCGACTTATGGCCACAATGGAGCCCAAAATTTATGTTACTAAGCGGGACATTGGTTAAGTGAGTTTTGCCCCATTTTATGACCTTTCTTGCCACATTTGTTAAGTGAATACACTGCAATTGTTAAAATAGTAATGCAGTGGCTAAGTGAATCTGGCTTCCCCATTGATTTCTCTTGTCAGAAGGTTGATCAAAAGTTGATCACGTGACCCTGAGACACTGCAACTGTCATAAGTACGAACCAGTTGCCATCATGTGACCATGGGGATGCTGCAATGTTAAGTGTCAAAAATGGTCCTAAGTCACTTTTTTTCAGTGCCATTGTAACTTTAAATGGCCACTAAATGAACAGTTGTAACTCAAGGACTACCTGTACACAAATGTAGTATTTTGATTAGGTTTGTGCAGAATCCTAAATGCAAAGACAAGGAGATGCACTGGAGCATGCAGGGGCACTTGTAACATCTGCCTTAAAGTCACTACATCTTTTCCCAAGTAAGATTCCAGGCAAAGATGCCTACACCCAAGGGGTGTTATAAGGAAACTTTTTTCCTTTCAAATCTGAAGCACTTTGTAGCCCTAGCTTTGAATGACTGATTTCTGGAAGCCTGGAGACTGAAGCATACAAAGAACAGCTGCTGGACTTGGATTTGGCTAGTCTAAAGAAAAGAAGAAATAGAGGAGACATGATATCTGAGGGGCTGCCACAAAGAAGAGGGGGTAACATTGTTCACCAGAGCACCAGAGGGAAGGACGAGAAACAATGGTTGGAAACTGACCAAAGAGAGAAGCAACCTGGAATTAAGGAGAAACTTCCTGACAGTGAGGACAATCAACCAGGGGAACAGCTTACCCCCAGAAATCGTGGGCGCTCCATCACTGGAGACTTTTAAGAAGAGACTGGACAATCACCTGTCTGAAATGGTATAGGTTCTCCTGCTTGAGCAGGGGGCTGGACTAGAACAGGGCTTTTCAACCAGTGGTATGGGTACATTGGCACCTGGCAGGTGGTACGCGACCATGCTAGAAAAGTGGTAGTGGGGGAGGGGAATGCGCTGAACTGATGGCAGCACTGCACAAGCCTGAGCGAGAGATGGCTGGAGCTGCAGGGCTGTCAGGACTCAGCAGAAGCACCAGGATCAGCGACAGGCTCCAGCTGGAAAGCGCCGATCAGCTGGAATGTTGCAGCATCTCCAGGGTCTTGTGATTTACATTCAGATGCTTGGCAACTGATTCATATTTATGACGGTCACAGTGTCCCAGGGTCATGTGAAGCGACCAAAACCTGCTGCAATGGGGGGAATAAAAAACAAACACCCTCCCACCCCACCTCTGTTGCCAATCCTCAACAGAAATGCTCACAACAATGAAAACCTCGGACAGGAGGAAGAGCACCGCCGGGCGGGCAGGCAGGTGTCTTGCTCGGCTGTAGCTTGTGGGGCACTTTTTTCAGTGCCATTGTAACTTCGAATAGTCACTAAACGAACTGTTTTAAGTCGAGGATTACTTGTACTTTATCACTTTTTTCCCTTTTTTGGGGGGGGGGGTCATCAAGTTTTTTGACACCTTGCTAGGCGACTGGTGGTACTCAGATGTTGCCATATCCTAAAAGTGGTACAATGGGTGAAAAGGTTGAAAAGCCCTGGGCTAGAAGACCTCCAAGGTTCTATTCTATTCTATTCTATTCTATTCTATTCTATTCTATTCTATTCTACTCTACTCTACTCTACTCTACTCTACTCTACTCTACTCTACTCTACTCTACTCTACTCTACTCTATTCCACAAGATTCCTGGGCCTCAATTCTGGGAAATAGATGGAGGAAGTAATGTTTAAAGGAAAGGAAGCAGTTTTTGTGGGTCAAGGATAAGGTGTTAGAGTGATGCAAGCAGTATTATGACATGGCTTTGCTTCTTTTCTACATGCATTACAATATCACACAACTCTCTCAAGGACCAGAGCTTGTAGTGTCATCATCCTAACAAAAGCAACAAGAATACCACTGCAAGGAAGCAAAAGATTATAAGACTTGAAATTTAAAAAAAAAAAACACCTGAATTTCAGACCAGTTCTTGCTTTATTATTATTATTCAAAGCAGTACAACAGCGAGAAAAGAGAGTAACACAGCTTGAGCATCTTGGTGGAAAGATTTATTAGCAATTAGTACAGAATTCTCCACAAATAAGGGCTACTTGTGTGCATCAAAATAAAATCAAACCACCTGGAATAAGTTAGCTAAGTTTCGGAGGTTTTTTTTTTTTTTTTGCTAATCTAAGCATTAAGCCCTTTGAATGCTCAAAACGTATTAAACTGGACTTTGAAAATTGGATGTACCCGTAACAGATATTCACGGTCATCAGCAAACTCTTCTAAAACTCAGAAGTGGATTATTTTAGATATTATAGTAGCCCAAATAGTAGCAACTCTTCATTTACAAAATGAAAAGACGTACCTCTTTGGACCTTAAGAGATGGCGTCCACCAGGGCTGTATCTTCTGTAAATTTGTCTCAAATTACATAAATACCCAGTGTGGTTCTAACTCCCCAATTTCACAACCAAACTACTTTTTAAAATAGTTCTCAGCTTGGTAGCAAAATAATACCTCCACATCTCCGGTCTAATTAGACCTGGGTAAGCCAAGATTGCAGCAAGATAGCTGAAATGCATTTTTACTGGCATTTACAATAAGGAAAGTGGGATAAAATCCCTAAAATGGTTCTGGGAAGATAACAAAACATCATTCAGGTACAGGAAACAAAGCCTTTTTGCACTCCGGTTGTGCTGCTCTGATTCACAAACTAGAACTCAAACACTTAAAACAGCCAGAACATAAAGACTATTTCCCTACAGGATACAATCATCTTGAAGCTTTAAGAAAAATAATAAGGCAAAAAGCATTTAAAACCCCAAAGGCTTTTTGCCACTTGTCCTGGTCCATGAAGTCCAACCTTTCAGGCTTTCTATAGACTCTGGCGAGAGATTATAGTTCTTTAATTCCCCCAGATTTTCTACTGGCTGCACCCACCTGAAGACCCCGGACCACTTAGGAACTCATTCTGATTTTCATCCAAGGCTGTGATGAAAGTCGGCTTTTTCAAGTATCGTTTCACCACTATTTTGAGAAGGCTCCTGGCTGCAGTGAGATGGAAGTCCTCTATCATAAAAAGCAGAAAGGCCTGTAATTCCTAGCAAAGCAGTTATTTCAGTTCCTAAACTTGCTTCATCCCAAGAATTTAAGAGCTCTGGTGCACAAGGCATAGCCTGCAAAGTACATTCAATTCCCACATATAGGACAGAACATTTTTTTTTCCTGTTGCCCTAAGACTCAAAAGGAGCTCTGTCTATTTTTCTAAATAATCTACTGACCAGTGTGATTATCTGGCCAGTGGGAAACAGATTACTGCTGACCGGTTGTTGGGAATACTTCTTACCAATAAAAGCATGTTTTTCATCTTTAGCTCCAAGACGATAACACCGTGGGAAAAATGTATCTGCATCAGCCTGGTCAAACCATGGGAGATTACGCAGGTTAAGACACAGCCCTACCTAAGAGAGAGGATATATAGCAATAGCAATAGTGTTTAAGACTTATATACCGCTTTATAATGCCTGACAGCACTGTCTCAGCGGTTCACAGAGTCAGCCTATTGTCCCCAACAATCTGGATCCTCATTTTACTGACCTCGGAAGGATGGAAGGCTGAGTCAACTTGAGCCGGTCAGGATCGAACTCCTAGCAGTGGGCAGAGTTATACTGCAATACTGCATTCTAACCACTGTGCCACCAGGGCTGCGTGGTCTGGATGTTCATGAAAAGGTCCTCTGCTCACCTTGGTAGTGAAGGTCCCTGCCTTAGCATAGTGATTCATCATCTGGTCCTTGCGCATGTAGCGACAATCAATCACATCTCGCCGATTGGTCCAGATGAAGTAGGGGATCTGGTTACGAACCAACCTTGACTGCCAATGAAAGGGCACAAAAAAAGAGCAAGATGTAAAGGCAAAGAACAGAAGTGTAATAATAAGAAACCCTGTCAAAATAATTTAAAAATCAGTAGGGAATAGTAAAGGGTTTCATGGCAAATAATGGTAAGAATTCACAATAAGTGAATGTCAAGTGGAGACAGAAGCTGGATTTGTAAACATACATAAATGGATAAAGACCCAGCAACTCAATTCCTACAGCATACTAAATTTGAATTCCAATCTGAGTTAGATTTTTGTGGCTTAGCACAGGGGTCCATGGCCCGTTTGGAACTGGGCCGCACAAGCGATGGATAAGGACATGTGCGCGTGCAGCTCCATTTGCACAAGCAGGAGGTGCTTGCACTTGTGTGCGCCTGCAATTCACACAGAACCATTCCTTCTCTCCCCCCACTGGTCTGCCAAGCTGGAAAGGTTGGGGACCGCTGGCTTAGCGTGTTTTGGGAACCTGGCTGGTTGGATTGGTTTATTATATTGTGTAAATCTAGAATTAACCCATTTAATATAATAACCAAGCTAACCAAATTAAGAATGGGTTACATGAATGCGATCAAAGGATGTTGTGACTTGGATTGAGAGCGTCCTATTGGACTATAATACCATTGGTGTCTGTATGCTCTCTAAAGCAACTTACCTCTCAGGGCTTGTGTGCAAAATAAATTTGATGGGAAAGGGAGAACCAAGTAGGCTGCCCCTGTTTCATGGGGAGGAAAATGGAACAAATACATCGTAATAAAATGAAGTGTTTAAAGGGCAGATCACTCTGGTACCCCAAACTAACCATGAGGTTATAGATACCATCTGCATCATCCTGCTCATCTTCCTCTTCCTCATCTGTAGTATGAAAAAAAAAGTGAATAAAAAAATTAGGAAAGAGCTGTCGTACAATGGACATATAGGTAGTCCTCGACTCACCACCGTTCATTTAGTGACTGTTCAAAGTTACAACAGCACTTATGGCTGGGGGGGAGAGAGAGGGGGGGGAATGGGGCCGCGTTAATGGTGAGCTGACGCGCACGCAGCTCCATTCACGCAAGAGAGAAAAGAAGCCTTTGGGGCGCAGTTTTACGCTCCTTCAGGCTTTTCCGCGCCGAGACCTTTTGCAAAGGGACGGAAGGCCCGAAGCAGCGCGAGATTGCTCCCCCAAAGCCTTTCGTCCGTTTGCAAAAGTTTTTGGCAGAGAGAAGCCTCCGCGGGGGGGAGGAGGGAACGGTCTCAAGCTCTTTCAGACTCACTGAGGCTGCTCAAGGCTCCAAAGCGGATTGGGTGTCCTGCGCACGCAGCCTCGGTCTGTCAGTGAAACTGAGCAGATGCTCATCGCTCCGCTTTTGGAGCATCGGGAACAAGGCGGCTTGGCGGCCCGGCTTTGGGGGAGGAGAAGGGAACCGGGCCGCGAGAGCAGTAGACAGGTGCACAAGTGAGTGCGCGCGCAGCTCCACTCACACACAAGACAGGAGAGGAGCCTTTGGGGAGCCGCTTGTGCGAGTGGAGCTGCGCGCTTGCACCAACCCGCCTCCTATGATGTCCGGTTCTGAATCGGCCGCTGCCCAGGAGTTGGGGACCCCTGCTGTAAAACACTCAGGAGTGGTGTATAAGTCTAAGTGCTTTGCCATTGCTATTGCTGGCAATTTATATATTTGAAATAAAATATTTCAAAATTTTCAAAGTTCTATAAAAGATGAGAGGGGTGAAGTAAGACTTCCATCCACAGAATGAAATACAGCCTCCCATTGGGTATGTCTAGTTTAATGAAGAGAAGGACGAGGGGAGGGGGACATGACAGCAGTGTTCCAATATCTCAGGGGCTGCCACAAAGAAGAGGGAGTCAAGCTATTCTCCACAGCGCCTGAAGGCAGGACAAGAAGCAACGGATGGAAACTAATCAAGGAGAGAAGCAACCTAGAACTAAGGAGAAACTTCCTGACAGTTAGAACAATTAACCAGTGGAACAACCTGCCTCCAGAAGTGGTGAATGTTCCAACACTGGAAGTCTTTAAGAAGAGACTGGGCAGCCATTTGTCTGAAATGGTATAGGGTTTCCTGCCTGAGAAGGGGGTTGGACTAGATGACTTCCAAGGTCCCTTCCAAATTTATTATTATAAATTATATTTCTGCAGATCCCCTCTCAGAGGTTTACAAAATCACTTGGAATCATTCTGAGAGTGCAGGGTGATGCAAAGAGGAACAGAAATCACCATTATACAATTAACAAGCATTTCCCTCACCCTCTGGCAGCTCTGCATCAATAGTGCTGCCTCTCAATAGCACATCATCCTACCAGCCAGCCGCTGTCAGTGAGTCTGGAACTAAAGCTTACACAAATAGTCCTCGACTTAAACAGCCAACAATTCAGCCCAACATTTATGTTGCTAAGCGAGATAATTGCTAGCTGAGTTTTGCTCCATTTTACAAACTTTCTTGCCACCGTTGTTAAGAGAATCGCTGTAGTGGTCAAACTGGTAACATGGTTAATAAATGAATCTGGCTTCCCCCATTGACTTGGCTTGTCAGAAAGTCACAAAAGATGACCACATGTCCCCAGGACACCGCGACCATCATAAATATGAACCAGTTGCCAAAAGTCCAAATTTTGATCATGTGACCATGGGGATGCACATGATCGTGTGAAAAGCAGTCATAGGTGACTTTTTCAGTGGTGTTGTAACTTTGAACGGGCACTAAACGAAAGGTTGTAAATTGAGGACTACCTATAACCGTGCAGTTTAAATAGAAAACATATTGAGCGATGGGCTGCTCCGTGGAACAGCTTCAGTCTATACAGAAATTCCTTTCAGACAGTGCCACTATAGGCAAAAGCCTTGAAGTAGCACCATGTTTCAGATTCATTCCCAAAAGCTGTTTTGGAGCATATGGAAGCATGAACTTAACACCTGCCTACCAAATGTTTAAAGCAGCTTCAACTTTCCCTGAAATTATCAGCTTGCACTGCACAGTCCTAGGGAAATTTGGTGTCTGCTTTAAAGAATTACAGACAGTGGTATTTTAATGTCCTTGCATGTTCCGCGATACCTATGCGGAACTGAATTTAAAGGACTGCACAGCTAAAATAAATATAGACAAGATAAAACAGATTTCCCTCACCTGGTGCCATTCAAATGCATTAGATGGCAAATTGCTTATCTATTATCACCGGTCACTAGGACTAATGCAAAATGAATACCAGAGTATTTTCAGGACTGAATTTGAAGAATAACAGAGTTGGAAGAGACCTTGGAGGTCATCTAGTCCAACCCCCTGCTCCGGCAGGAACCCTATACCATTTCAGACAAATGGCTGTCCAGTGTCTCCTTAAAAACTTCCAGTGTTGGAGCATTCACAGCTTCTGGAGGCAGGTTGTTCCACTGGTTAATTGTTCTAACTGTCAGGAAGTTTCTCCTTAGTTCTAGGTTGCTTCTCTCCTTGATGAGTTTCCACCCGTTGCTTCTTGTCCTGCCTTCAGGCACTTTGGAGAATAGCTTGACTCCCTCTTCTTTGTGGCAATCCCTCATATTGGAACACTCCTATCACATCACGCCTATTCCTTCTTTTCTCTAGCGTAGACATACCCAATTCCTGCAACCCTTCTTCATAAGTTTTTGTCTCCAGTCCCCTAATCATTTCTATTGCTCTTTTCTGCACTCTTTCCAAAGTTTCAACATTTTGTTTACAATATAGTGACCAAAACTGGATGCAGTATTTTAAGTGTGGTCTTAGTATGCCTTTATAAAGCGGTACTAATATGTCATGTGATCTTGATTCTATCCCTCTATTAATGCAACCTAGGATTGCATCGGCTTTTTTGACTGCTGTCACACACTGCTGGCTCATATTCAAGTGATTGCCCACTAAGACTCCAAGATCCCTCTCACAGTTACTGCTACTGAGTCAAGTCTCACCTCATCCGTACCTGTACATTTGGTTTTTCTTGCTTAAGTGTAAAACCTTACTTTTCTCTCATTGAATTTCCTTTTGTTAGACAGAGCCCATGTTCAATTGTATCGAGATCTGTCTGGATTTTGAGCCTATCTTCTGGGATGTTAGTTATTCCTGTCAATGGAGGATCATCTCACTCCCTCTCCCTCTCTTCTATTATTTGGGGAATAGGCTTCCAGAATAATACAGGAAGGGTTACCTACAACAGCAATGCTATTGCCAACAGGTGCTGTTGACCTAGTTGGCAATTTTGGCTTCACCCAAAGCTCCTTTGGAAGAATATCAGTTATGATACTTCTATCAAAAAAGCAGTAGTACATGGAAGTCTGCAGAAAGAATAAGCTTAAACAATGGTTAAAACAAAAGAAAAAGAAAAGAAACCGGGGGGGGGGGAGATCGAGGCTTACCATCATCAGTTACATCACTGTCATCGCCATCTTCATCAGCTTCGCCATCAGGGAAACGTTCCCGCTTAGTAACAACTTTAGGCATCTTTGGGAACTTCCTCTCCACCCAACCTCTGACAAGAAGTTGTCTTCGGATGACGGGGTACGGACCATGGACCATAAAGATCTTCCTTTGCTATGAGTTGGCAGGAGAATAAGAGGATTAGCTACTTTGCACTGCAGGAGGAGGACCAACTGGATCTCAGTGGCAATGCTCCAAAACAAAGGAAAGGTTTCAAGGGCAAAATACTGTAACAGACTTGGAAGGGACCTTGGAGGTCTTCTAGTCCAACCAACTGCTCAAGCAGCAAATCCTATATCAGAGGTCCCCAACTCCTGGGCTGTGGCCCACTATTAGGCCATGGTCTATTCTCAACTGAGCTATGCAAGCAGAGGGCTGGCATGCATGTGCATGCATGCACAGCTTGACTTGCACAAGTGGCAGTCCAACGTATGTGCACACATGGGCACAGTTCAACTTGCACAAGTTGAGTTGTACACACATGCGTGGGCCCGCCAGCCTGCCGATTATGCAAGTTGAGCTGCACGCACGCATATGGCCCGATTTCCCTTTCCTCCCCCCCACCGGGCTGCCAAGCCACAAAGGTTGGAGACCACTGCCCTATACCATTTCAGGCAAATGGTTGTCCATTCTCTTCTTTAAAAACCCCAATGTGGGAGTATCCACAACTTCTGGAGGGAAGCCATTCCACTGATTAATTAGTTCCAGGTTGTTTCTCTCTTTGATTAGTTTCCATCCATTGTTTCCTGTCTTGCCTTTAGGTGCTTTGGAAAATAGGTTGACACCTTCTTCTTTGTGGCAGCCCCTGAGATATTGGAACACTGCTATCATGTCCCCCCTGGTCCTTCTCTTCATTAAACTGGACAAACCCAATTCCTGCAACCGTTCTTCATATATTTTAGCCTCCAGTCCTCTAATCATCTTTATTGCTCTTCTCTGCACTCTGAGGCTGATATGGGGAAGCTGATATAGGGAGGCAAATTCAGTCAATCTCATTACCTTGATGGCTCTCTCCACATATTGTCTGGCATGCTTGAGGCGATCTGGATTGAAAGAAAAGGTGACATTGATGCTGCGTTGTGTGCGCCCATCTATCAGTGAGGCTGTATATCCTAGGAAGGGGAAAAAAAAAGAAACAAAAATTCCTTTCCTAGCTTCACAATTCTCAAACCTATTTCATGCCATGTGACTACTATCAGTTTGGCACTTGAGCTGCTGACTGTTTGTGCCATATATAGTTCCATGTGGTCCCATGCATTGTTCATCACTTATATACACTATAAAACCACAGGAGCAGTCATCTGGAATATGGGGTGATATCAGTGTCAACGCTGCAAATACTGTATATTCTTGCTTTGACAAAATATGCAAAACTGTCTGGTATCTTTAGAGTTAATGCAGAGCAGAAGAGGGAAGAGGGAAAAGCCCGGGAAAAAGGAACGGAAGTGAATCTTTGCCCTCTGGGCTAATTGGAAGATGTGACTTATGACTGCAAAATAAGGGAGGGGTTTAGAAAGAAAAGTTAGACGCAAGCAAGAGAAATTCAGATTCTGGCATAAACATCCATGATGTGCCGTCGATTTGTTATACTGTTAATAAAGACTTTAGGATAAACATGCCTGGAAGTTCTTTGAAGTGTTTCATTAGTCAGAACCATGACAATCAGTATATTGCTAACATCCAATTAAGGAATTTACTGACCAATTAAGGAAGCAATTGGAACCCTGTGAATATTGCCCACGAATTGGATAATGAGATGGATCAAAACAAGGTAATGTAAGAGCATTTCAGTTTCACAGGACATTCCGTTACAAATCTTAAATTAGGCATTTTGGGAAAAAAGAAACTTTACTAGTATAATTAAACAAGAGGTTGCTCAATTCATATATGTTAAAGTTTTCAGCTTATCTCAGAAGGGTGTCAACAAACATAACGGGACTTTACCACATTACAATTGTTAATTGATAACGTTCAGGTAGAAGAGCAACTAAGATGATCAAAGGCCTGGAGGCTAAAATATATGAAGAACGGTTATGGGACTTGGGTTTGGCTAGTCTGAAGAAAAGAAGAAATAAGGGAGACGTGATAGCAGTCTTCCAGTATCTGAGGGGCTGCCACAAGGCAGAGGGGGCCAGGTTGTTCACCAGAGGGAAGGGCGAGAAACAATGGCTGGAAACTGATCAAAGAGAGAAGCAACCTGGAATTAAGGAGAAACTTCCTGGCAGTGAGGACAATCAACCAGTGAAACAGCGTGCCCTCAGAAATTGTGGGCACTCCATCACTGGAGATTTTTAAGAGGAAACTAGACACTCACCTGTCTGAGATGGTATAGGTTCTCCTGCTTAAGCAGGGGGCTGGACTAGAAGACCTCCAAGGTCCCTTCCAGCTCTATTCTATTCTATTCTATTCTATTCTATTCTATTCTATTCTATTCTATTCTATTCTAATTGTCAGGCCTGTCCCAGCTTGGGTGTTTAGGAAAGAAAAACACTTGACTCAATGTGTAGAGAAAAGATATACTTTCACTAAAACCAAGTGGTTACAGCGTATGCAAAGCCACATCTGAATATTCCTGCCTAAATTCAATGCTTTTCCTTTCTCCCAAGTCCTTTCCCCTTGGTCATTTGCTCAGTGTCAAATAGTATTAAAATTAGGAGTTTGGGTAACAGTTCTAAAGTTTGATGCCTCTTTGCTGAGTGTTTGCATTCCGTTCTCACGCTTGTGTCCTTGGATCTCTTAATGCTTGTGTCTGATTTGCACCTCTGGTTCCTGTCATTCCTTTCTCTGTGTTCCCCTCTCTTTCTTCCCCCTTCCCTTCTTTTATGGCAGGATGCCATCAATGCAAAGGGAAGCTGGACCGTTGTGATGGTAGATCTGGTAACAAAAGTAATTGGGATCGTGACCTCCATCACTACATGGAGGTTGTTTGTAAAGCTATTCCAGTTGTGATTGTTAAGCAAATCCTCTGTGCTTGTTAAACATGATGTCATGTGATTGTCATTGGTGACCTCCCTGCTTGTTGGAACCCAGTGGGAAAGATCACCCATGGTGACTGTTATGTCCCGAGCCTTGCAAACGGCTCGGGCGTTTGCAGGCAGTCCCGGGCAGGTGCAAAGCTGCCCGGGACCAGACAGGCTGTCGCCAGCGCCGTGCGCATGCGCGGGTGCTGGCGCGGGAAAAGTAACCCATTTACCCGGGAGTTGCCTATATAAGAGGCTGCGAGGCGTTGGGCGAGGCTGAAGCCATCTTCCTGTAAGCTGAACGCTGAATAAATGAAACTGAGAACTCCAGCTGCTTCTCGTGTCTGTTTTCCCGCCACGGACTCAACACTGGCGACGAGGATGGGATGCCTTGCACTACCTGGAAAGGAAGAAGTGTAAGCTTACCCAAGGAGTCCTGAGCGGCGAAAGAGGAACGGCGTCGACTCGGCAGCTGCCCGCCAATCCGGTGCGCATTCGGGGGTAGGCTGGCTGATAGACCCGTCTCCTGAAGATCCGAAGATGGCGAAAATCGGAAGGCTTTCGGAATTCGACGTCTCACATCCAGAGCGGTGGGAGTCCTACGTATCCAGAATGGAGAACTACTTCAAGGCAAACCAAGTGAGGGAAGATAGCTTGAAGGCGGCCACCCTGCTTTGCGTTTGCGGCCAAGACGCCTTCGAAATCGCAGAAAACCTTGCAGCACCTGTCCCAGTAGAGTCTGTAAGCTACGCAGACCTGAAGAAGCTGCTGAAGGAGCATTTCCATCCCAAGGTGTCCGTTATCTCATGGCGCCACACCTTCGAAAAAAGGGATCAACGGTCCGGTGAGTCAGCCAAGGAATACATCGCCGCGTTACGGAAGGCCGCCAAGCCCTGCGAGTTCAAGGACCTCGAGGAACGACTGAGGGACCGATTCGTGTGTGGGTTAAGGCATCGCGAGCTACAACAGAGACTTTTCGCAAAGGAAGAATTATCCTTCCAAGACGCCTTAAGGGAAGTCACCGCAGAAGAAGCAGCAGGCGGCGCCGTCAAAAACATGCGGCCGATCAGAAACAGTGCAGAGGGTGCGTCCGTGCACCAGGAAGACGTCCGACGAAACTCCGAGGAGGATCCGGACGAGGAAGTCGACCGTCTACACCCCGCGAAGGAAGAGAACCAGAAGGGAAGCTCTTCGGCTCCGCTCAAGTGCATCGGCTGTGGAGGTCGCCACAGGAGAACCGACTGCAAGTTCCGCTCCGCTACCTGCCGGGCATGCGGTAAACAAGGGCACATTGCAGCTGTGTGCCTGGGCCGACGAAAGGCACAACCCCAAGAAGAACGCCTGAAGGGTACCAGATTCCCCAGCCAGAATAGGGTAGGTTTTTGCGCTTCGCGAAGAAGCATCTGTAGAACAGGCACACACAAGCCCATGAAGAAAAAGCTGTCACTCAACGTGAAGCTACAAGGGGTTCCATTATCTATGGAACTAGACACAGGGTCTGCCCTGTCCATCATTTCATTGCATACATTTAGGAAGATTTGTTCCAGAAGTGGGTCTAAGGCCAAGTTAAGGCCTTCTGATATTGTATTAACAGATTTTCAGAACTCAAGAGTGTGTGTTAAGGGGGAGGCCACCCTTAACGTGCAATACAAGAGTTTTGAAGGTCCACTAGACTTATTAGTAGTAGGGGGTGAACGAACGAGTCTCATAGGACTCGATTGGTTTGAGGCCCTGGGGATACACGTCACAGGACTCAATAGCTTACAAACACTCGACCTACAGGAAGTCTGCACAGAATTTGCAGATGTTTTCAGCCCCCAGCTGGGCACATTCAAAGGACCACCTGTGTCCTTAAAGCTAGACCCCACTGTCACTCCCATTAGGATTAAAGCAAGAAGGGTCCCTTTTGCTTTAAAAAGTAAGATTGACACTGAACTAGACAAACTAATCCAACAGGGAATCCTAGAACCTGTTGATTCCAGCCCGTGGGAGACCCCCATTGTCACGCCTCTAAAGGCAAATGGGGACATTCGCATTTGTGCTGATTACAAATGCACACTCAATAAGGCATTGCAGCAACATGCCTATCCTGTTCCTGTGGTCAGTCACATCCTGGCCTCTCTCAAGGGGGGGCGTGTTTTTGCAAAGCTTGACCTAGCTCAAGCATATCAACAGCTGCCTGTTGATGATGATGCTGCTATAGCTCAGACCATTGTGACCCACAGGGGAGCCTTTAAGGTAAAAGGCTACAGTTTGGAGTAAATGTCGCTCCTGGGATTTTCCAAAGCGTAATGGAAAACACACTACGAGGTATACCAGGGGTCTGCCCCTACTTTGACGATGTCTTGATTGCAGGAGACTCCACACACATTCTAGCTGAAAGGCTTAGGGCTGTCCTGTTAAGATTCAGGAAATCAGGCCTCAAGCTCAGAAAAGACAAATGCAAGATTGGGGTGCCTTCTACTGAATTTCTGGGATTCAAAATTGATGCTGCTGGGATTCATCCTGCTGAATCCAAACTAACTGCTATTTTAGAAGCACCCAGGCCAAAGTCTAAGGCCGAACTTCAGGCCTTCTAGGCCTCCTGAATTTCTACAATTCTTTTCTTCCACATAAAGCTAGTGTAGCTGAGCCTCTTCACAGGCTACTAGACAAACAAGCTGTGTGGCTGTGGTCACAAGCACATGAGGCTTGCTTTAAAGAAGTCAAGGCCTTGCTCACTTCTAACAGTGTTCTTGCACATTTCAACGAGTCTCTTCCTGTGTGCATCGCTTGTGATGCGTCCCCCTACGGGGTTGGAGCTGTCCTGAGTCACCTCAGGTCTGATGGAACTCAGGTTCCTATTGCATACTACCCCAGAACACTGTCTTCTGCCGAGCGAACTACGCTCAGATAGACAGGGAGGCTCTGGCTGTTGTTGCTGGAATTAAAAAATTCCACGATTTTCTATATGGCAGGCATTTCACGGTCTTCACTGACCATAAGCCTCTGCTGGGACTGTTTACCACACGTAAGCAGACTCCCCACATCATTTCCCCTAGAATGCTTAGGTGGTCTATTTTCTTGTCTGCATATGATTTTTCATTACTCCACAAGCCTGGGAAAGAAATGGGCCATGCTGATGGCCTCAGTAGATTGCCTCTGCCAGTAGTAGAAGCTGACCCCGCGCCAGCTGTCAACATTCTATCAATCCAAGCCTTGCCCGAGCTCCCTCTTAGTGCCAGGGATGTTACCGCTGAAACAGGTACAGATCACACACTTTCACGTGTCCGCTCCTGGGTCCTGTCCGGGTGGCCTGAGCACTGCCCTAGTCCTGAGTTTCAGAGTTTCTGGTCCAAAAGGAACGAACTGTCCCTTTCTCAGGGTTGTCTGCTTTGGGGAAACAGAGTTGTCATTCCCACCTCAATGAGGACTAGGGTCTTAGAATCCCTCCACGAGGGTCATCCTGGCATT